GGGATGAGCCAGCTGATCAAAAGGTTGCTTCATGTGTGTTTTGCCCCGCCATACAATTTGAAAAACGGCGTTCAACTCGACCTGTCGTTGGGCAGCCCGCAGCTAGTGTTCGGCGAGGAATTTTGCTTATTGCAAGACTTGGTGGCGCACAAGTTGTCGACGTTATGCAAGGGGCACTCGGGCCACAAACTTTGCCCGCTGTGTCAGAATGTGGTCTCTCACAAATGCCCGTGGCTGCCTGACCACACGGGGCGTCTTATCTCGAGTGCATGTTTAGAAGTGGACAAGTATGTGGTCCACACGAAGGACACCGTCACGAGAGTTCTCGAGAGGTTGCAAGCCGTGGCGCATGGGGGCGGCAACGACCTTCCCCAGTTGGAAACATTCCTTGGCTTCAACCACTCGGACGAAAATGCGTTTCTATGCCCCGTGCTTTCTCTAGACATGCCCAACTTGATAATGTTCGATTGGATGCACATCCTGTTCATCAGCGGCACTTTCGTGGTCGAGATGTGCGCGCTGCTTGGTCGACTGGACGCGCACTCGTTAGGGCACGCGCAGCTCGGGGCATTCTTGACGAAATTTTGTTGGCCAGGCGGTTACGAATCTGGTGCGAAAGTATGTTGTGACGGCAAGTTCGGGGGATCTGCCTCAGAGATGCTATCGGCAACGCCAGTCATTGCATTGTATTTGATGAACGTTGTTCGCCCGACTGGGGTTTGTGCTAAGGAAGTCGCCAGTGCCCTTCTCTTGTGCGATCTGGTGGGAACGCTGACAATCGTGAACGCTGTTGCCCCGAGAGAGCTGGAGACCGCTGTGCTCTCGCATTTGCGCGCCCACGTTGACGCTTACGGGCGCGAGATCTGGATCCCAAAGCACCACTACAGTGTTCATTTAGCGCCGATGCTGCAGAAGTTTGGCTTCTTACTTAACACGTTTGTACAAGAGAGAAAACACAGAGTTCTGAAAGCCATGTGCACCAATCGGCACAACACCACCAGCTTCGACACTGGAGTCCTCGAGGACATGACGTGCCAAGGCATGCATGACATCAGCGCCTCTTTGGACAGCGGGCCCTTGCGGGGGCTGAAGGATGCCCATCGAAAAGTGGTCGAGGCAATGAGGTCAGCGATCAGTGGCGCGAGGGCCGTTAGGTCCTCGAGGCGTCTTGTGGCATGCCACAGGACGGTAATGGCCAACGACGTCGTGGCAATAGATTCGGGCGAGGTGGTTGCAGAGGTGTGGTTTCACGCCGAGGTGGACGGGTTTAGCTGGAGCTGCGTGTCGCCTTGGCCTTTCGTTGAAGATGGCAACGGCTGTTGTAAGTACCGCAAAGTCTCATCATGTCCAACCATTGTGGCCAGCAGCAGAATTTCTTGTAGTTTAATTTATTCTGACACAGCAGAGAACTGTATTTCGCGAGTGATTTTTCCTGCCGCTATGCGAAGCAAATGTACGCATGCCATCGCAATCATCGTCACCGTCGCGATGCGAGCTTGCTCGCAAGCGCCGTCCGCCATCCTCAACACCAGCATCGTCATCATTTGGGTCGGCGGATTGCGTTGCCCAATCGGTCGCCCAGCATCCGTGTACACATGTGCGTGTGTGATATTGGAACTGTGGGGCGCTCTTGGCATATATGCGGTGCAATCTATGTGGTGATGTACGGCATATGTCGTGCAATATAGCGGTGCAATGTATGTGGTGCAATCTACGATCTACCGCAGTTCAGCATGGGTTCCTGTGACCAGCCCCACAGGTGCAACTCATATCAGACCGCTCCAACACCAAAGCCAGCGCCGACATCACCCCTCCCAGCAAAAGCGGTGAACCCAATTTTGGTTTTCCCGCGGTCCCAGGCCCGCTCGACGGGCCTCAAAGGCGCGGGCCCGCTGGGCCCCCATCCTCCTAGGACCCTGATCCTCGAAGTTCGAAGCTCGATCCTCGATCCCTCGAGAACCCTGTCGATCCTCGATCCCCCTCGAACCTCGGTCCTCGATCCTTCGAACCTCGATCCTCGATTCCTCGATCGTTGATCCTCGAAGCTCGGGGCGGCCGAGGCCGCTCGCTCTCTCTCGGTCGCTCTCTCCGTCACGGTCATGCCGTCGACGGCGGGCGGGCGGGGGCGGGCAGCCGAGCGGGGCGGCGCGACACGACCTCTCTCGCCCCCCATCTCCTCCCCCCCTTGCACCCCCTCCCCCTCCTTCACCTAAGTGGAAAAAAAACATCAGAATTCTAAGGTTTCGACCCGCCCCCAGGGTTTTCGGGCGCTGTTTGCCTTTTTTTCGGGTCCCTGCAGGGGGTGCTCGTCGTCGCCACGGCTGGATCCGCCTCGAAATCCTGCTCAAATGTTAGCTAGCGTGACCCCGAACTGTGAGTTATTGCATTGTGGAGTTGAAAGCGATGCGGTGTAAGCTATGTGGTATAAGCTATGTTGTGCAAGCTATGCGGTGTGAGCTTTGTGGTGAAAGCGATGCGGTGCAAGCTATGAGGAGCAAACCCACCCGCTTTGCTCTCGGCTTGCACGGATAGTACATTGGTGCACGCGGACGGCACACGGACACCTCCCCCCTTCGTCGTCGTCGGCGTCGTCGGCGTCGGCGACGGCGACGGCGACGATGATGACGACGTGGAGGCCCCGAGAGGGCCCATACCATCGGACGTTAAGTAGGTTAGCGGCAATTTGCTAACCTGGTTCGCCGAAGTAGGCTAAGTGGATAACCTGGTTAGGCGAAAACGGATAGCCAACATAGGATAACCTGTATGCAACTGACTTAGTTAACCTACTTATACGAGCACAGTGTAACCAATGTACTATCCGCGCTAACCGAGAGCAAAGCAGGGCGACGATCGCAGCAGAGGAGCCCAGAGCGGCCTCCGGCACCGTTTCCGGACAGATCCGGCGGATCAAGTGGATCCGCCGACGAATCCCAAACCGGCGCCCTCGCTTGAGACATCCTCACAAAACCGGCCCCGGGGGAGGTGCCCAGAGGAGCCCAGAGCGGCCTCCGGCACCGTTTCCGGACAGATCCAGTGGCTCCGCCGACGAATCCCAAACCGGCGCCCTCGCTTGAGACATCCTCACAAAACCGGCCCCGGGGGAGGTGCCCAGAGGAGCCCAGAGCGGCCTCCGGCACCGTTTCCCGACAGATCCGCTGGATCCGGTGGATCCGCCGACGAATCCCAAATCGGCGCCCTCGCTTGAGACATCCTCACAAAACCAGCCCCGGGGGAGGTGCCCAGAGGAGCCCAGAGCGGCCTCCGGCACCGTTTCCGGCTGGATCCGGTGGATCCGCCGACGAATCCCAAACCGGCCCCGGGGGAGGTGCCCATGGAGCCCAGAGCGGCCTCCGGCACCGTTTCCGGACAGATCCGCTGGATCCGGTGGCTCCGCCGACGAATCCCAAACCGGCGCCCTCGCTTGAGACATCCTCTGAGAGTCCGCCCAGGCGGGCGGGGATCGATGATAAGGATGCTTTAATACCCTTGATCCTAAAAGGGCGCCCTGTGTACGCGTGCGCTGCTGCAACAATCAAGATAAACACAAATACTACACACGCACGCCTGCTAAATCCCTTAATCTCTGACACCCCTCCGTGACCATCGAGGCTTGTCCTCGTCGGGCACAATCTTGGAAGGCGGGGGAATCGGAGACCAAAAAGGTGGCGGACCTTTGTCCGGACCCCAAAAACAGTGCGGGGGCTAAGCTTCATTAGACAGATGGGAAAACAAATGATATAATGAAATCCACTGCCTTCAATAGGAAAATCTCCAAAAATCGGCAGAGCGGTGCCTAAACAGGCGTGCAAATATGGAACTATGAAACCACAGGGCATAAACAATATGGATGCAAACCAAACGGTACGAGGGAGAGGAGGCAGAGGAGGAGAAGGGGGGAAACGAAAACCGGAGGACTACCCCTCCGCATTGCCAGGCCGGGCCTTGCGGGCTCGGCGCGCCTCGCCTGCCGCTGCCTTAGCAGCGAGCATCTCCTTCGTCTGCGCTAAACACCAGCGGCCCTCAGACAGCCGCTCTAGCAAGAAACTCCTCTCGGCCTCGGCCTTCGTCAAAGAGTCCGCGATCATCAGCTTCGTGTCGATCCACCTGACACGTATCCTCCAGTCATATCCCTCTCGCTCCTGCTTCAGCATGTCATGGCCGAGCAGCTGTCGGATCTGGGCCATCAGGATCCGCACTCGCTTGTCAGCGGGCTGACCACCATCCTTCTCCAGGGAGGTGACAAGGCCATTCGCGTCCGTCAGCAGTAGCAGATGCTTGCCATCGAAAAACGGGTCGAACTGGTAGGATGAGTAGCCGGGGTCGGATATCTCGGCAATCACGTGCTTGAGGAACTCCGCACTCTCAGCTGTCGTCAAGAAACCGTTGCATTCAGCCGCTAGCGATCCACGAACCACTCGCTTGATCGTCGCGCTAGCCCATTCCAGTGGATGTATGATCGCGGTGGCGTCCGTCTCGAGGTCGGGCGACGCCATGCCGATGATATAGCCGCACTGCGACTTGACCTTCTCTCCTAGCGTAAGGTCGTCAATGTTGCCATGGCTGCTGTCCCCGCAGCCGAACACAATGGCACTGTCCCAGTCCAGGCGGGATGAAAAAATCAGCTTGAAATCAACGTCGCCCTTAGCCATCTTGATGGCACGATTCACTGCAACAATGTCACGAATCTTGGGGCCACTCATGGCCTGAGCCCCAAGTGAAGCGCGGACGGCCAGGTCGGGGCGCGTCTGCCGTGCTACCCAGCCAAGCGACCCAACACCGCTACGGAGGGCAGAAATCTCCTCCGGGGTGAGTGGCGCATTGGGCTTGCGCCGGCGGTGCGGCTCGAGGGTGATGTACTCCAGCGCCTCGACCGTGGCGGCCTGTCCGATCTTGATGTCGAAAGTCTGGTTGTCCTGCTCCACGACCTTGCCACAGTACCTGAACGTGTCGGACTGGAAGGAAAGGCGAATCTTGTCCTTGATGATCTCCATCACGCGCTCGAACTGCTCGCCCGCGCCCGCGACGAAGGGGTCGTCGACGTGCGTGCACAGCAAGCCGTTGAGCTTGCCCTTGCTGTCCCTGAGCATGAACATACAGGGCTCGTAGATGGACTCGCGCCAACCCTGCTCCACGAGGATGGCGCGCACATGCAGCCACCACTGCCTGCCCGCGTCCTTGATGCCGTAGATTGCGCCGCGGGCGCGCATGTAGGACCCCTCCGGAACTCCAGGTGGTGGAGGACGAGGGGCTCGGAGAAGCAGGATGCGCTCAATGCCCTTGGACTGCAGGTAGGCCGTCGCAGCGTCAGCTGCCCTTATCTGCCACCGGTGGGAGGCAGCGTAGCTGGCGACCAGGTGGAAAGCCAAAAGGCTAGCAGTAGGAGCGTCGCCTCGGATATCATCTCCTCGTTCCTGGCAGCCCTGCACGACGAGCCGACTCTTGGCAGCGAGCGGGATGTCGTCATAGGTCTGCTTGAGGTTGCGCTTCTTAGCGTTCTTGTCCGTGTGGACCCGGCGCGTCCCAACTGGGGAAGCACCCCTGTCGAGGAGCTCCTTGGCCTGGCTAAAGCTCAGCACCTCGACGGCCTGGAACTCAGTCCAGCTGCGCCACTCCTTGGCCATAGCCTGATCGAACTCCTTCCTCTGCTCTGGGGCGAGGTCTTGAAGTCTGATCTCGGAGCGGACCGCGCCCTTGGTCAGATAGGCGAACTCGACTGTGTCGTTCGTGCCCACGTCCTCGTCGGCGTGAACGAAGATGGCCTCGACCGCGGTGGTGCCACCAGGCAGAAGCCGACGAAGGCGAGCATCGTGAAGAGCAAGACCTCTGACGTCGATGTCATCGATCACGATGCCTGTCTTGATGTCTCTGGTGATGCGGCGAAGCACCTTGGACCAGCGAGGGCCACGCTTGTCCGTAGTGATGAACTTCTTGATGCCGTAGTCGGTGCGACGCCACTCGTAGGCGACAGCCAGGTCCGGCTTGTAGTCGCTGGTGAGGAACACTTCGTGGAGGGCGTCCTCCATGACGCTGAGCTCCTCCTCCACGTAGCCCTGGAAGGTACGAGGCTTCTTGATGGAACCCCGATCCAGACGCTCCGGATCGCGCATGGCTCTGTCCAGCTGGGTAAGTGACAGGCCTCCGCGCTTCTCCCCGCGCTCCAGGCCCACGCCCATCTCGTCGTCCGGCACCGGCTTGTCGACAGCCTCGTCATCCGGGGGCACCGGCTTGTCGATAGCCTCCTGAGATACTCGAGGATCGATCCGATGACCTTGACCTTCGGAATGAATGCTGGGCTCGCCTGGGCCGTACGAGCGTGGCGGCCCCTCTGCCTCTGGTAGCCCCGGGCGTGGTGGCTCAGGGACCACAGGAGGTGGCTGATGCTGAGCTGGCGGTGGTAGTAGTGCGTCGTCGGTCTCCTGAATGATTGGAGATGCTTGTTGTGGTACTTCGTGTGCCGGCGGTGGAGGATCGACCCGCTGCCGTGGTAGATGGTCCTCGGTGTTGAACTCGTCGAAATCGTAATTTACGTCAGGTCCTGGTCCGGCAGATCCGAGCGCGCCCCCAACCACCCCTCCGTGACCAGCCGCGTGCCGTTGCGGCCTGGGCATCGGGGCGGGCGAGGCTGCTGCTGCATCGGCCCGGATGTCGATGTAGTGCCTGGCCCCCTTCAGTGACCGAAGGGACAACAGGTCTGGGTTCACGTAGGTGTGCATGGCGAGCAGCTCGTCCTCGGAGGCGAACCTGAGCGACTCAGGAGCTGCGAGCACGGTAGTGTGTCCGTAGCGCAGCCACACTGCATGGGCCAGTGTGCCGACGGGCTCGTCCGCGTCGCGAGAGAGGTGACGTGGGTCACGCACCTCATGCCCGATAACTCGGGCTGGCCCAAACCAGCGGTGCGTGACCTCGGGGCTCTCGCCGACTCGGGTCTGCGACCGGCGGAAGTACACGATGGCCCCAATGTTGAAAGGGCCTCGGCTAGGCCGCGCCTTGCGCAGGATGGCGCGATTGACGCGGTCGTCGGAGTCGAGGCGGACGTGCGCGATGCGGGCCGCCTCGCGCAGGGCCATGGCGCGGGCCATGGCAGACTGGGGGTCGAGCGACGCCTCGATGACCTCCAACCGCTGCGCCTCGTCGTCTTGTAGGAGGCTTCCTGGGACACGGGGCCCATGAGACCCCAAGACCCACTGCGAAGGGGAGAACCCCCCGCGTCGGCCCAGCTCGTTCTTGACCTGGGTCACGATGGAGGCAGTCTCCTCGACGTCGCCCAGTCCTGTGACCTGCGAGTCGGCGACAGTACGTCGCCAGATCTCCTTCCAAATGCCCCCGCGGCGCTCGCACTTGCCGATGAGGTGCGGCGTCTCCAACGGGGCCAGGTCGACCTGCACGCCATGCGCCTTCGCGTTGGAGGCGAAATCCTTCATCCACTCCGTGCCCAGGTCCACCGTGAGCTTCTCTGGGTAGCCAGCCCACGGAGTCCAGCTGGTAGTGAACGCCTTGGTAGTAGCACGTGCTGTCGGTGATCCACGAGCCGGGCCCATGCAGTACACGACTTGAAAGTTCGTCCCCTCGCAGATACAGTTCATAAAGAAGTAGGGTGTCCCGGCGGCGTCGTAGGCGTGGAAGGTGTCCAGCTGGATGGCGTAGTTGAACACGCACTGACCTGGCAACCGCGAAGGTCGTGGGGCGCGCCGACGGACGGCGTCGCCACAGGCGTCGCCGGAAAAGAACTCCACGTATTTCAGCACCTCCGGCTTGACTCCTCGGCGCCTTAGCAGCCTGGTCAGCGTCACGTTCGAACAGTGGTGGAAGTTAACGTAGAGCTGGCGGATGGCCTTCCTGACCTCTGGCGGGGCCTCCAGCCATCGCCTGCGCCGCTCGGCCTCCTTGGTGTTGGTGATGGGGCCGAGCTGAGCGGCCTCTCGGGCTCGCTCGCCGTCGGGATCAACGGCTGGCGGAGGTGGTGGCTCCCCCACAGCTTCTTGATCAGCTGGAGGAGGAGCAGGCTCAGGCACGTTCGGGTCAGGCGGTGGCGCTGGCTGCGCCATGGCTGCCCGGTACGGGTGCCCCCGCAGTCTGGTCCGTCGTCGTAGTCGAACCGGCCCACGAAGGTCTGGACCGTCCTCTGCAGGGAACTGCCAGTCGGTGTCCGCGGCGTTGTCGACGATGGCCTGCTGTACGATGCTGCGGGCGACGATGTGGTTGAGCTCCTCCGGCCACTGAGCCGCTTGCAGGGTGCGCGGCCCGAACTTGTTGCGGCCCTTTAGCTGCTCGTGCTGGGTGCAGCTACACTTCTTGTCGGAAAGGGCCTCGACCAGCGTGTCCATAGTGGCATTGATCATCATGGGCTTGCGGTGAGCCAAGCCTGACTCAGCATCGTGGCACCCAACCTGGCAGCCGTCGAAGGTAACCTTCCTCGGGATGCCCTTGTCCAGGAGAGAACGAATCCTTGACATCTCCGGCTGGTCGAAGGCCTCGGAGCCCTGGGGGTGCTCCAGCGCCACGTGGAAGCCCCTCCGCACTCGGCTGTCCACTGAGGAGCCCACCTGCCTGAGAATGGGGCGGTTCGCCTCGCGCTTGGCCAAGATCTTCCTCTCGGTCTCCGGGCAACGGGCCATGTTGAATCTGCTCCAGTTGCCCCACGGCGAGCAGGGGTGCGAGACCACGAGGCAGTACGGCTCCTCGTTGGTGATCTCCGCGTCGTACCTCTGCCTGCCCAGCCTGGTGGTAGCGTCCCAACCCGTGTGCTTGTCCAGTGGGACGCCGACCGAGAGGCCCATTGCGGCCATGAGCACTGTCAAACCCATCTGGCCATCGTAGGTCTGCTTGACCCATGTCCTGGCACCTGCGGGCAGCCGGGCCCTGGGCGGATGCTTCTCCACGACGGCCTGCACCACCTCATCCTGCACGGCAATGGCATGCAGGGAATGCTCGAGCTTCTTGGACTTCTTGTTGGTGAGGTTGCGCTTGCCGCCCCACTCGATCGCCTCGGCGGCGAAGACGTCCGGTCCGTAGTCGTGGTCGACGACCGTCTGGAGGCACTCGTCGTCCGTAGTCTCGCCGATCTCGATGTCCAGGAAGCTGGGGAGAGGCTCAACTGAGCTCTCCTCGACGTAGGTGATGCCGACGTGGAACTTCTCGGGGTAGTACTCGAGGTGGTGATCCTCGGGCATCGTCAGCGCCGCCCACTCGGCCGTCTCGTAGCTCTCGTTCGGCAGGTCAAGGAGGTTGACCGCCGGGTGGCCCACCTTAGTGTGGTGGAGCTTCAGGTTGTAGACCCCAATGTTGACAAAGTCGGCGACATCGCCCTCCGTGGAAAGCCGCATGCTCAGCCCAAGCTTGGTGAGCATGTCTCTGCTGAGCAGCATCGGGCAGTCGCCCGGCACCTCACACGACAGAATCTCGCCACACTTTCCTCCAATGCCCACGGGAAAACGGACCGCCGTGGTGCTCCTCGTGCGGCTGCCGATCCCTCTGAATGTACGAGAGGTCGGGGTCTTCACTACCTGTAGACCGCGCCTCGCGAGCTTACGCTCGAAGGCTGCCCGCCACGACTCACCTTGCATGGTACGCGTGCACCCAGTGTCGATGATGGCGAGCATGGCGTCGGCGTCGCTGTCGCGCGCTGAGAAGGCATTGCCGGTAGTGGCGGCCATGACCGAGCACTCGTAGGTAGAGATGACGCCCGGCTGATGGATGTTGGGCTGAATCGGGATGGTGAAGCCGCCGGCGTTGACCTCCATCCAATCGTTGTCGGCGGGGAGCCTCCTCTTGTCGCCGTCGATCATCTGCTGCGGGGCAACGTTGAACTTGCCACGCGCGATCTTCACCATAGCGTAGAGGAAATACGCGTAGCGGTACAAGTGGAGGTTGATCTCCTCCGCCTCGGGGCCCAAGACCTGGTCCAGAGCCCACTTGTTGTACCAGATGAGTGCCGGGTCGGACGCCGCATCCTGGAAGGTTCGCCCCTTGTGCGTGCCGAAGTTGATGACCTCCGCTGGGTACGGGACCGGGTTGAGCTGGTCGACGCCGTCGAGATCCGGGAACTCCACCAGCTCGATGCTCTGGTGAAGCGGGATGCCGTACAGGAAGGCCAGCTCCGGCCCCGGCTTCGGCTCGGGGTCGCCCTGGGTCAAGTCGACCTTGATGATGCGCTTCTCGGGTGTAGGTGGCGCGGCCGGTGCTGATCCAGTAGCACTCGGCCTCGCAGAACTGGCCGCAGATGCGGCCGCCGGTGTAGGTGCACGTGGTCCGTCGCCTCTTGCAGGCAGTCGGCCGAATAGCCGCTGCTTGCCGGAAAGGCGTCGCGCTGCGGGCGCCGCCGTCCGCCTCCGATACGTAGATGGGAGTCGACCCTGGACCATCAGGGCGTCGGCCACCAGGGCAATCCGCCTCGCGAACTCCTTGCGGGACAGGAAGCGGCCCCACTTCGTGCCCATCAGGGCCTTCATGAAGTAGCTCCACGGCTCGAACCCTTTTTTGCGGTGGGCGAGCGTGAAGTGGCGGTCGCACTCCCTGCATGTTATGTACTGGTGGTCTTGTTGGCGCCGCGGACGACCTTCTCGCAGGCGTCGTCGGCCACGTGCTCGCAGACGTGCTCCATCTCGCCCTTCAGAACCATGAAGACCTCGGACGGCTCGCCGTCGTCGTCGTTGTCCCCGTGCTCCTCGAGCGTGAAGTAGTTCTGAGCGGGCTTCTTCGCTGGAGACACTGATGTAAGCTTCCGGCTCGACCAACGGGGGCAAACGTCATCGCCCTGCCAATGCCCGAACTGGTGGCAGTCTGAGCACTGGGTCCGCTTCTTCAGGTTGGCGATGCGCTGTCGGCGAGCATCTCGCTGTCGGTCGTCGTAGCCAGGGACAGCACTACTCGAACTGCTGCTGCCTCCTCGCCCTGCGGGCGACCTGGTTGTCAATCCCTTGCCGCCTCCCCGGCGGCCTCCCCTTCCACCGGCCTTGCCACGACCGTGGAAGCTCGAAGTCACTCGCCTAGGCGGCTTCTTCTTGTTGAAGATCTTGTTGCGGCTCTGCAGAACGAGGGCGAGGGCCTCTGCCTCCTCGGTGCCAAGCTCGTCGAGGTTCTCCGCGACGTAGTTCTCGATGTCGAACTCGTCGTCCTCGCCGTGCTCGTAGTCGTCCTCCTCGCCCTGGTAGTAGCCGTCCTCGTCCTCGTCCTCGTAATAGATGTGATCGAGCTCTGACTGGTTCTCGTCTTGCTCCGACGCGGCGTAAGCGTAGGCGGATCGCTCTCGGCGATCAGCGCGTCGGTCCTGATGTCGATGTACCGCTGGGTACTGAGCCCGCAGTGCATACTCGATGCCGGCTAGCTTGTACTCGTTCTTGTTGGAGGCGAGGACTGCGGCTTGCTCCTTCATGCTGATGCCGCAGAATCTGAGGATCAGTGCGGCCTGGATATCCTCTGAGATCGTAGTCGTGGCGCTGACCTCCTGCAACTCTGCGAACTCCTTTCGCCTCCTTGTCACGTAGTTGGCCATGGACTCGTTGCGGTCGCGCCAGACCGATGATCCGTACAAAGCCTTGTCGAAAATCTCGGTGCTTCGGACGGGCGCTATATCTTGAACTTCTTTCTTCAACGTCGTGAGGAAAAGAGTGAGCCCGTCCTGCCTTGATTCTCCAGACTCATCAGTAGCTATCAGCTCCTCATGCTTGAGCTTGCGCACTGCTTCGTAGGCTGGACCAGAAAGGCCTGATCGTAGATGCAGCGCTGTCGCGGCCTGCTTAGACTTCTCGCCAGTCCTGCCATGATAGAGATCCCAGGCTCGCTCTTCGTATTCATTGAAATACTCTGGCTGGCCTGCATACTGAGGGACTCCATTCCTGTCCAGCTCGATGGACATCTTCTTCGTGAGGATGGGAATGATCAGCAGCAGCAGCGTTGTTACACAGGATGGTGCCCTCGGCCGGCTCGGCGGAGGGCTCGTCGTCGTGGGCTGACACGACTGCCGAGGTGGTGACCGCGGCGGCGGAGAGGAGGTGCGGCGACCTCTGGCGGCGGCTGCGGCCGTCGCCTGCCGCGGGGCGCCCGGGCGCGGCGGCCCAGCCCAGCGGCCTATGATGCGCAGGTCCCGGAGCTATCACGCTCCGCTTACCATGAGAGTCCGCCCAGGCGGGCGGGGATCGATGATAAGGATGCTTTAATACCCTTGATCCTAAAAGGGCGCCCTGTGTACGCGTGCGCTGCTGCAACAATCAAGATAAACACAGATACTACACACGCACGCCTGCTAAATCCCTGAATCTCTGACATCCTCACAAAACCGGCCCCAAGGGAGGTGCCCAGAGGAGCCCAGAGCGGCCTCCGGCACCGTTTCCAGACAGATCCGGACAGATCCAGTGGATCCGCGCCCCGGGGGAGGTGCCCAGAGGAGGAATGAGGAGGAGGAGGAGGAGGAGGAGGAGGAGGAGGAGGAGGAGGAGAAGATGATGGAGCTGTGGGGTGGAGGAGGACAGACGGAGGCAAGAGAAGGATGGAGGAGGAGGAGGAGGAGGAGGAGGAGGAGGAACCTCATCCTCACCCTCGCCAACAAGCGCACGCACCTTCTTCTATCTACAGAAACTCCCGATCAACCGCAGAGCGGCCGGCTAGTATTGAGGAACCTCATCCTCACCCTCGCCAACAAGCGCACGCACCTTCTTCTATCTACAGAAACTCCCGATCAACCGCAGAGCGGCCGGCTAGTATTATTCATCTTATTCCTTCGCCTCCTCCTCCTCCTCCTCCTCCTCCTCCTCCTCCTCCTCCTCCTCCTTCCTCCTCCCCCCTCCTCCTCCTCCTCCTCCTCCTCCTCCTCCTCCTCCTCCTCCTCCTCCTCCTCCTCCTGCTCCGCCTCTTCCTCCTCCTCCCCCACCTCCAGCTCCTCCTCCTATGCCTATCCCCCCCCCATCGTTGCCCCCGCTTCCCCCCTCGCTCGCCGCCGAACCACCAACCGGCGCGGGGAGGCCCAGGCGGTGTCCTCCCGGCGGCGTGGCCCCCTGGGCGACTGCACCGCGGGCGGCACGGGCCGTCACCACGGGCTCCGCACCGACGGCGCCGAGGGTGCGATGCTGAACGAAGGAACGAACGAACGGACGAGCGAACGAGGAAGGAGGAACGAACCAACGAACGAACGAACGAACGAACGAACGAACGAACGCCGAGGGTGCGCCGTGGGGGAGGTCGAAGAACGAACGAACGGACGGACAAACAAACGAACGACGCGCGGAGACGTGCCGCTGGGGCGGGCCGGGCCGCTACCGCCTGCGCAGGAGGCCGTAGCCTCCGAGGTCGAAGAGAGGGCCTCCACTGGGCCGCGCTGGGCCGTCACCAACTGCCTACCGTGCGCCAGGCCGTCACCGGCCGCGCTGGTGGGGGAGATCGAGGAGTCCAAGGCCAACGTCGAGGTCTCTGGTGGGCGAGCACTCGCTTGTGTATCATACGCCGGTGTGCTCCGAGGGAGCAAGAGATCCACGCTTCGCGTGGCACGAAATGCTGTGTTGTTCTTATACGCCTGTGCCCCTTGGGGATTGCGGCGTTGTCTGTCGTCTGGTCAGCCGTCGGGCCGTTGGCCCCCAGGCCGCAGAGGGCCCTTCTCTCGCGCACCTGGGCAGGCGCAGGGTTGCCAGCCGCAGGCGCGCGACGTCAGGAGACAACCGGTCATCTACCTTCTGGGCCTCCCATCGCTCCCGAAGCGCATGGCCACCAGGTGCGACGAGGATTCGGGCATGCCAAGCCTTGGCCGCTGCCGCCTGCTGCCCCTCCCCGCGCGAGACGTCCCCTGCCCGCAGCTCGTGGACCTCCTCGGCCGGGTGTGGCACCCCTGGTGGCGGAGGGCGACGCTTTGCTGTCCTCCGAGCCTGCTCCAGGAAGTTCACCCAGCCCTTGGCGCGCAGCAGCCCCTGCAGGAACTGCGTGGCCGGCGGCATCCGCCAGTCAAAGAGCAGGTAGTTCAGCCCGCTCTGCCTCCCCGCGGAGGCTTCGGGCGAGGCTCTCGGACTGTTTTTTGCTGCTTCTCGGGAGCTCTCGAGCCTCGAGGCGCCTTCCAGCAGCTGCGCCTCGCCGAGAGCGTTCTGGGGGGGCCCGGCTCGTCCCGAACGGCCGCCGGAGGCCCGAGTGACGACGCGAAAAAACCAGGCCTCCCCGCGGCGTCACCAAAAATATAACGCGACGGGATGTCTTGTGGACCATTTTCGGCCCCTTAGGAGGTCTCACAGGGCCGCGGGACCGTCAGAAAGCGACCGGGGACGAGAAGCTGGTCCCTGAAAAGGGGTCCGGGCCTCTGGCGGAGGCCCCGCCGTGAAGAGAGACGCGGCGACGGACGCCTGGGTCTCGGGTCGGACGGGCAGGGAGGGGCCCGCGAAACAGCTGACGCAGCTGACCGGAGGCGCCTGCGCGCCAGGGCAGGGCGCGTGGCTGCGGTGGCGAGGCCAGCTGCGTGCAGCAGACGTCGCGACTCCCCTTGTCCCCAAATCCCCCTCTCGTCCGGCCCGCGAGGTCCTCGCCGTCTGGCTCTCGGGCCGTGGCTCTGGCCCCGGGCGGCCGCCGGGAACGCCGCCGGGATCCCCGGGAGTGCTCCTCGGCGAGGAGCAGCTGCTGAAGAGCCTCCAAGGCTGGAGAGCCTACGGGAGCCCACGACAAGGTCTGACAGCCTCGTCCGAAAATTTCAGGCCCGCCGAGAATCCACGGAAATGTCCGAAAGGCTCGTCCGAAAGCATCAGAACCACCGAGAACCTACGAGAGAGAGAGAGAGCGAGAGAGAGAGAGAGAGAAAGCTGAATGCAGAGTACACGAGCGCAGATGCAATGGCCCGACAGGGCGTGGCAATACCGCGTCACGACCGCGCGCCAGGCTGCGGAAGAAACCGCGCTGTCTCGCCAGAGCCCCGGCAGGGCCTCCTCAACCCCTGCGGCCAGGACGGCGTGGGCAACCATGGACTCGACATGCAAGTGTTCCTGGGGCGCCCCCGCTTCCGCCTGAAGCTCCGTGCACATGGCTCGCTTGAACAAT